AGTGGAAAACCAGAATTGTTTTAAACACCAATCAAAAAAGTGTAGATGCAGGTACCATTAAAATAGAAAATGGAATATTCCAAGGGGACGCATTAAGTCCGCTATGGTTCTGTCTGTCGCTGCGACCCCTGACAACTATGTTGAATAGGCAGCGCAAAGGTTATATACTGCCACACTCAGACAAGAATATTAGCCACCTTTGGTACATGGATGATTTAAAGCTGTATGCAAAGTCTAAAAAACACCTTGACGACCTTCTGACTTGCGTCACCCGATTCAGTCGCGGCATAAAAATGTCATTTGGGCTGGACAAATGTAGGACCAGCGGGATGGAGAAGGGCCAGTGGGTACATCACGCGGGATATGAAGTTGCTGAGCGGCAAACCATCGTCGGAATGGAAGAGGGAGAAAGGTACAAATATCTCGGATATCTGCAAGCAAGAGGTTTAGACCATACAGCAGCAAAGGCAGACAGTAAGTGACACCTACATTAAAAGAATCCGGTCGATACTGAAGACTAAGCTGTCTGTCAGGAACATGGCAAAAGCAGTTAACACCTATGCCACATCTGCAGTTTCTTATAGCTTTGGAGTGATTCACTGGACAGCAACAGAACTCAAAAACCTCAATATCAAAACCAGAAAAGAGTTCAGCAAATTTCGAGCACATCATCCACGTTCATCATTGGAAAGGTTCCACTTGCCTAGAAAGTTGGGTGGAAGAGGTATACCTGATCTAGTTATTAACCACAACAGGCAAGTAACAAACCATAGGAACTATACTAAGTGACATATAGTTAATCCGAACACCCAGTTTAAATGGTTTTATTTTAATAAAAGTTGGTGAATGTATTTATCTTACTGTAAATAACAAAGTGAAAAATTTTCAGCCTTATCAGTTGGACATTCCGGTTTTTATTACTGCTTTTTTTTATTCACTAACGCTCTAAAAATGAATATTTCAGCCGCATTAAAGAATAACGTTGGAGGATTGTGGTTCTTGACATCCTTTACGATCGGTTTACGATGCCTAGAGTACGGAGGACCTGTACGATTCGTCAACTTAGTGAGTTGATAGGGGCCCGTTATAGTGGGACTTCGGGAAGCTGGACTTTCTTTTCGGGCAATTGCAGCTTAGAGTGCAAAGAAGTGTAGACACTGTGGTTAGGTGTTGTCAGGCATGGCTTCGAGAAGGCCGTACGCAAAGAGCAAGGGGCACTGGACGCCGCCGTAGAACAACAGACCGTGAGATCGCCGCCTAAGATTATTGGCCTTAAGGGACCGTTTCTCCACAACCAGGTCCATTGCAAATGAATGGTTTGCAGAATACGGAAAGACCTATTGGCATGCGAAGTGTTTACCGACGAATGAGAAGTTTTGGCTTGTTTTCATACCGGCCACACTGGGTCTCCCTTTAACTCGAGAACACCGACGTAATCGCCTTGAGTGGTGCAGACAACGGTCACTCTGGGATCAGGAATGGAACAGTATTGTCTTTAGTGACGAGTCTCGATTTTGTTTAGGCATGCACGATGGTCGTGCCAGGGTTAGAAGGCGACGTGGTGAAAGGAGGAATCCACAGTTTTTTGTTGAAAGACATGTTCATCACACTGTTGGAGTTATGGTTTGGGGGTGCTATAGCTTATGGTTCCAGGTCACCTTTAATCTTCATCAGAGGGTAACATGAACGCGCAGCGTTATACCCACGAAGTTCTAGAACCCCATCTTTTACCCTATCTTGACACCCTGGCAGATCCAACTTTCCAACAAGATAATGCCCCGACACATGTTGCAAGAGTCACAATAGACTTCTTTCAACATAATGATGGCACATTGTTACCATGGCCACCAAGATCTCCCGACTGATCCCAATTGAGCACAGTGTGGGATATGATGGGTAGGAGATTGCTCAATTTGGCAACGTCCTCCTCAGACTCTAGAAGCACTTCGAGAGGAGTTGGTGGTTGCCTGGAATGAGGATACCACAGGAGGACATTGACCACCTGATCAGAAGCATGCCTAGGCGCGTTGGAGAATGCGTAGCACATCAGGGTGCATCCACACATTATTAAAGGTCAAAGGGCTTTAAAGCAGTGCAATCATTTTGAATTTTTATCATTACTTATTATGCTTCATTAAGTACTTATACAAAATTTATTAAAATAAAACCATTAAAACTGGGTGTTCGGATTTATATATCACTTAGTATACTTCCTCGCCAGCGCTGCGTTCCTGTGAGATTCACCACGCTATCATAAGGGCGGACAATAGGGCTACTCCTTTAAAACTGGCAGACCAAAACTTCAGCCTTAGCGTGGACCAGCTCATACCCGAGCAACAACTGCAACAATGGAAGAGTAAGGCACTTCATGGTAAATACCGCACTCTACTCGAGAGCGATAAGATCGATACCTTCGCATCCACGGCCTACCTCCGCTCTGGAAACCTGTTTGCTGAGACAGAAGGGTTCATATCTGCTATCCAAGATCAGGTCATCGCAACTAAAGGATATAAAAGAAACATAATGCGGGAACGACAAGACAATATCAGATGTCGTGTGTGCGGTGAAAAGGATGAATACCTGGACCACATCATCGCTGGCTGTTCAATGTTGGCACCGAAATCCTACCTAGACAGGCACAACAGAGTCGGAAAGATAATCCACCAAAGCCTTCGTGAAAAGTACTTGGAATTGACAGAAATAGTGCCGTACTATTTATACGAGCCGCCTGCTGGGTGCGAAGATGAACAAACCCGGCTCTCCTGGAATCGAAAAATTATAACTGATAGACCGATAAGTAATAATATACCGGATATCGTGCTCACTCTAAAAAATGAAAACAAAACATACATAGTAGATTTCGCTGTGCCATTGGGAGCCAACCTAGAAAAGACACATGGAGAAAAAATCAATAAATACCTACCCCTGAGCGATGAAATCCGCCAAATGTGGGACATGGAAACAGTAGTCATCATCCCCATTGTGATCGGAGCAACTGGAGAAATATCTAAAAAATTAAAACATCACTGCAACAACTAGGATTACCGTTTGAATTATACTTACCCATGCAAAAGTCGGTCGTGTTGGACACATAGTCCGTAGAGTTTTAAGGCTGCTACACACAGTGCCGGCGGCAGGGCCGTCGGCTAAGCCTCCGTGCACCCGGCGGCATACAAAGCCGCCGGCCTTGCCGCGCAAAGGACCCGCCGGGGTGTGGCGGCGGGTTACGCGGCTTGCCGGCGTCACTTCGTTCCTGGCATTCGAGAGGTAGTGTTGTGCGGTTTGTGTGCTTAAAAAAATTAAAATGTCGTTTAATTGGGACGACGAAGCTGCGCTGCTCTTAATTGAAAAATTTCATGAAAATGATATATTATGGAATCCCAGAAATGCAGACTATAAGAATAGGAACAATCGAATGGACGCATTGAACATAATTGCAAGTGTATTTGACATTGATAAAGGCGAAGTAGAGAGAAAGTTAAAAAATGTAACCTCGTATTATTTTCGGGAACAAAGAAGTTCGAACAGTTGCACAAATCTGGTGCAGGCATAGACGATGTACGAAAACCCAAAAACATGCTATTGCGCAAACGCTGACACCCCATATCATCTTTTTTATACTCTTCTATCATTACAGTACCGTTTCGCCATTTTCTATTTTGTGAACTTGGGTGCAACCAAAACCTTCTCGTCCTTTTGTATTTTTTTTTCTTATTAAAATAAAAATTACAACTGCGGCGGCTGTGCTGATGATTTCCTTATTCATTTTAACCAACCAACCATAAAATATGCACTTCACTAGCGTTTCTATGTGACTGTCACAACCGGAATGATGCTTGGCGGCTTGCGCGGCTTGTGCCGGCGGCTTGTATTGCCGACGGCATAGCCGCTCGGCATAAACCCGGCTGTGTGTAGTAGCTTTTAGGCGGCAACTAGAACAAGATGTTTCTAACATCATCCTTGAACGGGCCATCTTGTTTCAAAACCGATGTGCCAGCGTTCTTAACCCAGGGAAGCCTGTGAATCAGTTAGATGATTAATGAATAATAATAGTAATAATTATAATAATAATAATAGTAATTATAATAATAATAATTATAATAATAAAAATAATAATTATAATAATACCATACCATACCATACCATACCATTTATTGACCACATATACATAGTAATTATATGTTTGAGGTCACAAACTAAATAAAGTTTCAAAAGTGATCATTTACTGTTCAACGCACTGTCAGAAACCACTAGAGTCACAAAGCATTCAAATATTCATCGACAGAGTAGAAACAGTTTTGTAGTAAGACCTTTCTAAGAAACCCTGAGAACCGCCTTGTAGGCATCTTATATTTGAGGCTTATGAAACCTGCAAAGATGTTGTAAAGAGACACATCGGGCTTGTTATTATGTGTCATGAAAATCCGAGATCTCGGTGCGGAGATGCTATTAGCTTGCCGAGTGTTGTAACTATGTGTCTCCGACCTAACAGGAAGGGTGTTAAGGTTGGCATGAACGTATAGAAGTGTCTCATAGATGAAAAGGCAAGCTAACGGCAATATCCGCAACTCTTTGAAAAGGTCGCGACATGTGTGATTGAAGGGGGACACCTGCTACAATTCTTATCGCAGCTTTTTGCATTATAAAAGCTTTCTGCGCCTTTACGCAGCTATCCCAAATAATAGCACCATATGCAAGGTGGCTATGAATAAGGCTAAAGTAAACGGTTTTCAAGGTTTCCCTGTCCAAACAATGAGATAATTGCCTCATAATAAACATTTGTCTGGATATCTTAGAGCAAACGTGATCCACATGCTCCGACCAGGTCAAATGGCTGTCTATCACAAACCCCAATAGCTTAACGGATGATTGTCTCTCGTTCCATTTGTCTGAAGTTATTTTTAACTTACTGGTTTTTCCTTCATTGAGTTTAAGTTTTTTTGAGCAGAACCACTGCATAACCTGATCATGCTTGGATCTCCTCCAGATGGTTAGGCCTAGAGAGCAAAGTGGTGTCATCTGCAAAGGGATAGCACCTGCTACTGGTGACATTCGGTGGCAGATCGTTGATATATACTAAAATAGTAATGGACCCAAGACGGAGCCTTGGGGGACCACACTACTTATGGGTAGCGTCTGCGACTCTACTCCCTCAAGACTAACCACCTGCTTCCTACCAACCAAATATGATTGCATGAGCTGCAGTGATTTTTCACGGATCCCATAGAACTCTAACTTGTAGAGCAGTATACATGTATCGACACAATCGAAGGCCTTGGTTAGATCACACATGATTGTTAAGGTGCTACTCCTACTATCAATGCACTCTACTGCATCCTCGATGAAACTAAGAATTGCTTTTATGGACGAACAATGCTTCCGAAACCCGAATTGGGAAGCCGAAGAAGGGTTATTATAATAATAATAATAATAATAATAATAATAATAATAATAATAATAATAATAATTATAATAATAATAATAATAATAATAATAATAATAATAATAATTATAATAATAATAATAATCATAATAATTATTACTATTATTATACTGTTAATAATAATAATAATAATAAAAATAATAATATCATATCATATCATATCATTTATTCACAACTTTATAGACATATATTGTACATGTGAGGTTCTAAACACTAGTTTACATTAATCAGGTATTCCATATACTCAGTGACACTATAAAAACAGTGTTCCAGTATCAGTTTTCTTTACAAAACGCGAGAAACTTGAGGTTGACATGCCGTTACGTTAAATTTTCTGTAGGCTTTAACAAGCTGTTATACATATTTCATCGGGTCCTGTTGATTTGAGTCAACATCAAACGTGAATACTGGTTCCTAAACGTATTCGTTGATCTCAAGCGGTACGTACTGCTAGGAGTTGTGTATTGTTAAAATTAGTGTGATGTATAGCAATGATTCGTAGTTATAGATTGACGCTAAAGGCAGTATCCCACAATTCTTAAATAGGTCTCTACAAGTAGCTCGAAATTTGGAATTCGTTAATATCCTCACTGCCAACTTCTGTAATTTGAAAACTTTGTTTAAAGCAACCGAGTTACCCCAAAGCACAGTACCATATGACAGGTGACTGTGAAAGATGCTAAAATACATAACCCTCAGTGTATGACCACTAAGACATCGGCTGAGTTGTCTGAGTATGTACACCTGAGTGGAGAGCTTGGAACAGAGGTAGTCAATATGTGAGGACCAATTAAGTCTGGTGTCTAAAACTATCCCAACAGCTTCACTGGTGCTGACTTGATACCCACCCGGTCCGATGAAAAAGTGCTTTCATTGAGAGACAATTTGTTAGCGAGGAACCAACGTTTAGCCTGTTTCAAGCTTTCCACAACCGAGCACCGATCTAAACGGGCGAGCAGTGTGGTATCGTCAGCGAATAGAATACACGAGCTGTTGACAATATTTTGAGGCAGATCGTTGATGTAAATAAGAAACAGTAATGGGCCAAGCACCATTTCTTATCTCCAGCACTCCAGAGGTAATGCCTTCGATGCTGACGTACTGCCTCCTATTTGTAAGATAGGATTGGAAAAGGGCTAGCTCATTGCCTCGCATACCGTAGTATTCAAGTTTATGAATAAGTATTCGCGTATTAACGCAGTCAAACGCTTTTGTTAAGTCCACATAGCTGCCATAGTACCTATGCGGTTGTCAATATTGTCCAATACTTCCTCAAGCAAGTGAAGTAATGCTTTGATGGTTGTGGAGTTTTTTCGAAATTCAAATTGATAGGCAGAAAGTATAGACTTTTTTCAAAATAGTTTGCAAGCTTTTCTTTCAAAAGGATCTCAAAAATTTTGCGATTATAGGGATGATTGCAATCGGCCTATAGTTGTCAGGGGAGTCCACTATCTCCTTTTTTGTAAATTGGTATTACTTTCGATACTTTTAAAGCGTCAGGCCAAACACCTTCGTGTATACATTTACTGTAGCAGAGCAGATAGCGGTTCGGCTAAAATATCCACACAACTCTTCAAGATAGCGCTGTTTAGGCCATAATAATCTAAAGAATAAGAATCTCTTAGGAGTAAGATTGCCGTCCTGACATCTTGAAGAAGTATTGGCAGTATTGGACTATGAAAAATGAAAAATGTGGCCGAGTTACATTTTAAGTAATTCTCTGCATCCTAATTACATACAGGCAATTGATTTAGTATTTTGTTAGCTATAGAGATAAAGATGTCAACTCTTCAGAACTTAAATTAGTTTTAGAAGATGTACTGTTTTTATTTTCCGCATTGACAATTTTCCAGATAGATTTATTTCTATTATGTGAGCTTCAATTATGTTTGCGTAACAATCCTTTTTACCTCCTTTATAGTTTTCCTATAGATGTTTCGACTCACTTAAAGTCCTCCCAAATCTTACGTCTCTAGTAGCATTAAATGCTGTTTTAAGTTCGATCATATTCTTTCGCATCTGACGCAGCCTGTCGTTATACCAGTTAACTGCAGAAG